AGGGACCTGCTATTGATCGAAGCTTTGTAGGTACTGATTGGACATGAGTGGATAATTTCCTTTGCTGCATTAGAGTCCATTACTGGGCCCGCTCTCCGGAAAGTGAAAGACATCCTCTAAAGAAAAAATAAAAACCAACGGAGAATGTTCTTGGAAATGCATTCTTCTCACTGAAATGGATCTCTGGCTGAGGCTCCTTGAACTTCATTATCAGGTCCATTTGGAGACCAATAAGAAGGTACTATGTTCAGTCTGATCAGAGACAGGTTCTCTCTATGGTGAACTCTGACCCTTCCCAGACTAACACCTTCTCATCTCCTGACCTTTCATCTTTTCACTACATAATGATGCAGTGCTCAGTTCTTGAAAGTTTGGTGTAGAATGTCCTAAATGCTGCAGAACGGATCCTTGTTTTACATAAAATGTGATTAGGCAACATCTTGGCTTACTTTCTACAGTTTTCTTTTGAATTTTCGGTATCATTTGGTGGAAGAAAAAGTTAAAGATACAGATAAAGTTACTAAAAGGAGAACACAAGACTTTATCTTTGAGTGTAGATTCTTGAAGTGTATCATTTTGCACTCAGTAGTTTGTCATTTATTTGTATAAAAAAGGCTCATTTTTTTTAAATTCCAAAGCAGCAAACCTCAGCTTTAATATCAGAAACAATGTCCTCCTGTGCATGTGTGGGTTCTCTTCAGGTACTCCATCTTACTCCTACAGAAACACGACTGTTGGATTGATTGGTTTCCCTGAATTGCCCTTAGGTATGACTGTGTGTGTTGGTGTGTGATGGATGGAATGACTGCTGGAGATGCACAGGTCCCCTAGAGTCCCTGAAAAAACAGGCGACTCCTGTAGGGTAGACCACAGAAAAATATAAAATTACATCCTTATATAATACAACAATATCACAGTATTGCAATTAGGGGTGTCCTGATATAACCTTCTTCATATCCAATAAAATACTGATATTGCTTGAGTATACACTGATACAGATATTGGCCCAATACAATATCAGCACAAATCATACATACTTTTAATACTCATTTTGTATTATGAGATGTTAGAAATCGCTTGATGAAATGATCACACATAGAAGAATTGCTAACAATAATTGAAGTGAGAACAACTGACCTATTTATCATTAATTAATGTGTTTAGGCAGATTAACTTTAGGCAGATGCAGAGTATTTCTGTAAGAGGTTTTAGATGCAGGCTGATATATTCAAACATTCTTTTTTTTTGGCTAATATCAGAACATTTTCTTATATCAGTATCGGATTGGGATATCCTTCATTATCATAGACGTCTTTATCAGGTTATAAAGATGTTTCTCCTTGGCTTTACCTTTCTTATACCTCATACAAAATAGCAGCTGTTACCAACTGTGTTTGCTCTCTTTCATCCTCTGAGATGGGAGCTGGCTTGGAGCTGGTCTGCCTGACTGTGTTTCCTGGACAGGGCCGCCTGTGGACCTACTAAACTGTTACCTTTGAATCTCTGCTTCTTTTTGTATCTCTGCTTCTGTCTCCTTGAACCCCAGTCAGCCTCTGCAGATGGCCGCTCACACTGAGCCTGGTTCTGCTAGAGGTTCCTTCCTGTTAAAATAGAGTTTTCCTCTCCACTGTTGTTATATGCATGCTTGGTGTGAGATATTGCTGAAGAGTCAGCAGGAAAATGCAAGACAAGGTCGTCGCAGCAGGCTCATCCAGGAGGAGCATTTCTTACAAGTCTGTGAGCAGATGACTGAATAAACTGAATTGAATTGTATTAAAATAACAACGCCTAACATAAAATTGTTGGATATAGAATTATATAGTTGGAATCATTATGAAGCTTTCATGTCATAACGATGATTTTATAATATATAAAATAATATAATATATGTTATATGTTTACCTAGTAACATAATGGCTTTAATTGCTGTAGAGGTACATAATCTCACCAAAAGAATTTGTCTGTCTACTTTTACATGGATTTTAAACTATTTTTAATCTAAAGGGTGCAGTTTTGATGGACTCTTGTTTTTAGGACACAGGGGCTGATCTAGAGATGGCATCAGGGGGACCATGGCCATCCTTAGCCAATCATTGTCCACTCTGTGGTCACCCCTTTCGGTTGATTTGTTGTTCCAATTTGGATATAATTCACCAACAATGGAACAAATAGTCCTCCTCCACACAGAAGTTGGCAGCGGTCTTACTATCATGTTGAAAGTCCAACTTTGACATTTTAAAGTTTGTTTGTTAACTAAAAACTGACAATATAAACAACAATATACTAGAAATAAAGATGGCTAATACACAGTTCTTGCTCTTTACTAATTAGTTTTGAGGTCTTATAGTGGAGAGTTTTTCTCTGCAGTCTTCTATGTGATTAAAGATAAAGCAACCCAGGTAATGTATATACATATTATGTAGAGCCGTAGATTAATTTAAACAGCACCAATCTATAAATATGAGTGTAGCTTTATTAGCAAAGACTTCATGAAAATCTAGTCTGTCCTCATTGATTTATTTGGAAAACATAGATGTTAATTTTCCTGTTGGTTGATTGTGAACAACATAAATTGACTGTAACATGTTTTTGGCAGTTTTTTGCACATTGGTCCCTGCCTGGCCACCCCTATGAAAACTTTAGTAGCAACAGCATGACATATGTTTTGCAGCAAATTTTAACTTTGCCTTGCTTTGTTTTATGTGATTGCAGAATCTCTCTTTTGAAGCGCTATCCTTTGAATGTTTTTTGTCTGTTAGTCTCTTTTTGCATTTGCAACACATTTGCACCCTTTGGTAACTGTAATTTTAAGTTCTGATTGTAATTTTAAGTTCCATTCATCCGTCCGTCCGTCCATCCATCCATTCATCCATTATCATTGTGTTCAGAAGAGCTAAAAAGTGCAACAACATGCACACACTGAAAACTTTCCTTTTTTTTTTTTTTTACCTGCCCTTCCATCTGAAGCATAGACACAGTCACAATCTGGCCAGTACTCCAATTTACTGAGAAAATATAAGGTATTAGAAAAGCTGTCTTTACATCAAGGTCAACTCCAGTACCAATACTGTCTCCAGTTAGAATAAACTCTGTTAAAATGCCCTAATTCGGCCAAATAAACTGCAAAAGTTTAGATTGTTTCAGCAGCTAAGCTCCTCTTCCTGCTGTCTGGATGTTTTACCCACAGGTCTTATTAAGAACCTTATTCGATTCAAATCATAAATACGTCCCTCATGCTGGGTGTTTTTCTCCTCAAACCTCCCCTTCATTAGTAAAACTGTTGAAAAGGTTGTGTTTCAACAGTTAAATGCCTGCATGACAAGTTGGTTTGATGTCTTCCAGTCAGGTTTCCGTGCCCTGATCTGGCTGCCCTGATCAAAGTGTTCAATGACATCCGTATATTTCACGCTCCGGTAGAACCACAGTGCTGGTATTATTGGACCTCAGTGCAGAGTTTGATACTGTTGATCACTCAAATTTAATAGTGTCTGGAAGACTGGGTTGGCATTTCTGCTACAGCACTGGACTGGTTTAAGTCCTACCTGAAGGACAGGGACTGCTTTGTGTCAGTAGGGAACTTTAAATCAGAGTCCCAATTTCCTTCAACTGAGTACAAATAATACTGAGGTAATAATCTTCGGACCAAAGGAGTTATCTCACAGCTTCAGCTACTACAGCTAGTAGTCACTGATTATGGCTGAGTTCTTGGTGTCATGATGGACTCAGACTTGAACCTTCAGAGGCACATAAAGGCAGTACTTTCAAAGCCATCCATAACCT